GCCCTCACTCACTTGCTCATTTTCAGCAGGCTGGGGAGGGTCCCTTTTTGGACACCTGGGAACCGGGCCGGGCCTGGGCTGCACCCAAACTCTCCCAGGGCTGTCGGGATCCAGAGTCTGGGCTCAGTCAATGTAGAGAGAGGGCCCGAAAGGTCACAAAGTTTGGGGTGGCTCCAGATGAGCAGGGGGTTATTGAGTCAGACTCATCTTGAGGCTGAAAACACAGCCCAGGACTTGCGGCTGCTCTCGGCTCAGTTTGGGATCAGCCTCATATGCCAGTGGGCTCAGGGTCTGTCCCCAGCCAGCAGCCCCTTCACGCCCTAGGGCCCCCAAGGTTCCAAGTTGCCACATACCCTTTCTTGCCACAAGCTGTAATAAGCCAGGATCCTCCGTCAGCAATCGCCGGCGCACCGCAGCATCCTCAGGTTGGTGCCAGCTGGAAAGACGTGACCCAGGAGGCTTTCAGCAAACAGGTCTCAGTTGCACTTGAGTCTGGAGTTAGCTGCATGCAACCCACCTTGATCCAGCCAGCTGCACTTCCTGATGTGGGCCACTGCCTGGTCTCTTAAAGGACAGTCCACCACATCCGGCAAGATTCAGCGTACAGGCCTCGCCAAGGGGCTGCACCACCCTTGTCTTCACACGCACCGGTGCAGCGGTGCTGTTGTAGCACTTGAATGAAGACACTACTGTGCTGAGGGGACAGCTTCTCCCGGCGGTGTAGTTAATCCACCTCCCCGAGAGGCCGTGGCTATGTTGATGGAGAAGCTCTCCCGGTGATGTAGCGCTGTCCACATGGGGGGCTAGGTCGGTATAACTACGTCGCTCAGGGGTGTGGATTTTTCACAGTTGTACCCATCGAGGTGTGTAGTGTAAACCTGGCCACGGTTTTAACCCTGAGTGCACTGGCCTTCCCCAGCTAGCCAGCCAAAGAGACACTTTGGCGGACGCGTCTGAAACCTGTAGAGGGGACTTTGGCGGACGCGTCTGAAACCTGTAGAGGGGAGACGGACGAGATGGAAGCGCCCTGGGGCTTGTGAGGATTTTCTTCCCCCTGACTTGGGTTCCCTGTGTCCAAACAGCCGTTGTCAGGGGAGTTTGGATGAATGCTTCTGACTTGGGCACAAACCAGGGTAGTTTCTGCAAAATCAGACCCATCAGAACGGCAGAGCAGGAGCCCATCTCATCGGGACCATAAAAGTTAGGAACAACTTCTGCGAAAGGGGCACCTGTATAGTGAGGACAGGGCCTATGCTAAGAAATGAGTCCAAACCAGAACCCTAGCTCCGCACATCCCCCCCCTTTACCTCCAAACTATGGCAATGTTTGATCCGAATCTAGATCCGAACTTCACAGCTTGCACCCCAGCCTTCCCTAGATGTGAGCCGGCTCCCCACACCCTCATCTGCGCCTGCTCCCATCCCCCTCTGCACACCCCCACCCCCTCTCTGAGCTGCCAGCTAAATGTCAGCATTCATTGATCTTAACTTTGCTGAATGAGTCATTCCCTGGGCTGTTTGCAGGAGAGCCGAAAATACCTCCGGAGAGCTGGGGCAGATGGGCTCTGTAACTTGCCAGCTCCTCATCCAGTTAGGTTCTGTCTCATTGCGCCATGGGGCAGCTGCCCTCCTGCGTCTCCCATTCCCGAATGGCTGAGCGCCTCGCTCAGCGGTTGCAAGCAAGCCCTGCAAGCAAAGACCCCGGGGGTCTGACCTGCTGCCACCTGCCTAACGGCCCCATTACCACAGAATCTGACCACCTCATCAGTGCCAGAGCAGGTGGAATGCCACCAGACCCCAGGCGTCGGCGGGCGGGATCAAACCTGGGGCCGCTGGAGCTGAGTGCCTGGGCCTCTACCGCATGAGCTAAAAGCCAGCTGGCTGTTAGCTGAGGCTGAAGAGCAGACTCAATCTCTCTAAGTGGTCTCAGTGCCGCCGGATGGGACACACCACCACACCCAGAAGGTGGGTGGGTTACACATGTACCATCACAGCACCCCCGAGAGGCAGAGCTTTTATCCCCGCTGTACAGATGGGAACTGAGGCACTAAGTGACTCTCCCAAGGTGACACGGAGGCTCTGTGGCTGAGCAGGGAATTGAGCCCTGGCCTCCCAAGTCCCAGGACCCGCCCCACCAGACCCTTCGTCCACTCTCAGACTCAGCAAGTCTCCCAGCAGGACTGGGTCGCTCTCACTTGTGTGAAGGGTGCAGACTTCCACACCAGGGAACAATTGCTCGGAGGGCCCTGACGGACAGGAGCTAGGGGGAAATGTACTGAAACTGAGCCAGTCACATAGGCCAGGCTATCAGTTATTACCACGTTTCAGCATGTGAATCATCCTGCAGTCTCACAGGAATGTGACACCAGGCGGTGGGCACAGAATGGCCCTGCTGATTGCTCTCAGGCTCCATTTTACAGCAGTTACCGTTAGCTGGAGCTATCCCAGCAAAGTCTCTGGGAGAGAGGAAGGATGGCCTTGTGGGTTAGGCACTGGATCGGGACTCTGGGAACGACCGTTCATTTCAATTCTCTGCCACAGACTCCCTGCGTGACCTCGGCATGTCACTTATTCTCTCGGTGCCTCAGTTTCCCTATCTGTAAAATGGGGATAACAGCATGGCCTTTCAACCACTGCTCCTTGGGCTCAAAGAAGAAGCAATGAAGTGACTTGCCTCTTGTCACAGGCAGGAAATGACTCCAGCTCTCCTGAGTCCTTAACCAACAAACCACAAGACCAATGTACAGAGCACTGGACTGCTGGGACTGTCATTTCCTTTCTGTGCCTCGGTAACTGCTTTACTGCACTCTTCTCCCGGTGTGTAGCAATATCAGCCCAGGGGTGGGAGGCAGATGAATCAGCAGGTGAATCTAAAGAAGAACTATGCTCGACAGCCAGGCACTGCCCGAGCAATGGACAAGGGGAGGCATGAAGCTTCTTCCATCTCTAGCTAGTACGAAAAAAGCAAGTGGGAGGAAGCAAGGTGCTTTCTTAGTTCATAAGGTTTCAGGCCAGAATGGGCCATTAAATGATCTAGTCTGACCTGTTGGGCAGCAGGTGAGCCCCCCGTTCAGGGAGGCTAGCCCCCTCCGCCCGAGGCCCTGCCCCTACCCAGCTCAAGGCCTTGCTCCTCGCCGGCCCCCCCATGTCCACTGGAGTCAGAGTAGCCCTGAGACCCCCACCCCCACTGTGGCCCCAAGACGCTGACCAGCCCAGGCCAGCCCTGGTTGCCCAAGCTGTCCCCGCTGGCTTTGGGGGAGAGGCAGAGAGGCTGCCGGCTGGCCCGAGCCCCGAGCTGAGCCCCCCCGGCTTTGGGGGAGAGGCAGAGAGGCTGCCGGCTGGCCCAAGCCCCAAGCTGCCACCGCTGGCTTTGGGGGAGAGGCAGAGAGGCTGCCGGCTGGCCCAAGCCCCGAGCTGCCCCCGCTGGCTTTGGGGGAGAGGCAGAGTGAAGGTGGAGCCTCGGGGTGAAGCATGGGCAGGGTCTGCCCTCCGGTGTAGCATAGGCTGTTACATTTCACCCCGAGACCCCTGTACAGAGCCCCCTGACGTTAGCCCTCAGGAGACCAAACTGTCAGGAACCACCAGCACAGAACAGGTGAGGCCAAGCTGCCAGCAGCGTCCCAGGCCCCTGCAATGCAGGGAATTGAGTGGGTGAGAAATTCCCTGATGGCCCCAGCCTACGAACCACACCCCCTGCTGCAGAGGAAAGTGGAAACCCCCAAGGAAAAAGCCCCTGCGAGTTGCTCCGTGGGCACTGGCAGGAAGAACCCACACACGACGTGTACAAGCCAATGTCTCCATTGTCTTCGCGTCCGTGTGAAACCAGAGGCCAGGACAGAGAAATGAAAACGGGGCTGCGATGTCCGGCAGCAAGAATTTACATGGCTGGGCTGACGGGGGTGCGCCTTTCCTGACTTTCCAGGCTTTAGGGCGGCAACGCAGGGCCACGCAAACAAAGCTAGGGAGCCCATTAAAGGGGCTCTGTTCAGATCAACATCAGAGCTCCCACCCCCTGGATCTCAATGGGAGGTTTGCCCGAGTGAGGACTGAGTCGAGGCCTCCGGATTTGGTCCATCTGAAGTGAAAGCCATTCAGACTGCACAGGGTGTTCATGCCCCAGGGCGGGAGTGGGGATTTACCATCACTGATTGACCACCGAGTGGCAGAACAGTGATCAGAGAGCCCAGAACACCCCACTGCTCTCTGGGGCGTACAGCCTCACTCCAGGGCAGACCCACAGGGCACTCTATGGATTGAGGGGGCCAGCTGCAAAGAGCGGGTGTGGGGTCACAGCACAAGTACCAGTCGTTACTGGAAGGAACTGGGGGATTCCCATGGTGGGAGTGTGCACTTGTGGGGCGTGGGCCTCAGGACACATGGGGGACTCACTCACTCACCCGGGAGAGACAAGCTCTGGGAGCTGTTCCCAGGAATCTGCATGGGAATTGTATCAACTCAATTCCTTTTCATCTGATGCAGCCCTAGCCATGGGGGCCACCCTCCCTCTCCCAGGGGGGTTTGGGATTTGTATAGTGGGGTGGGGGTGGCACTCCCAACTGAGTCCTGAGTAGAACTTTTCGGCTTTGGTCTTGTACGAGACGATGCTTTGCACATTCGTTCCACCACTTTTCTCAAACGCTGGTTGCCCCCGGTGACAAAACCAACAACTGCCACCTCCAAATACGCCCTCCTCTGCCGCTCCCCCAGGCTCGCCCTGGGCACAGTCTGGGTATTGGGCTCTCCGCACACCCTCGCCCAGAGCCACAGGGAGAGGGAGCCTGGCTGCAGCAGCTTTTGCCTCTTGTCTTTGGCCTGGCTCGGTTTTTCCTTCTGCAAGGGGACTCTGCATGTGCTAGATATAAACCTAAGCAAGAGAGGGGGAGCCGGGGCGGGTAAGTCCCTGGCTGTCTTGTGACATTCTGAACTGGCTAAAAGAACAGGAGGACTTGTGGCACCTTAAGAGACTAACAAATTTATTAGGGCATAAGCTTTCGTGGGCTACAGCCCACTTCATCGGACGCATAGAATGGAACATATAGTAAGAAGATCTATATATATACACACATACAGAGAAGGTGGAAGTTGCCATGCAAACTGTAAGAGGCTAATTAACTAACTGGCCAGTGTGTATGGGTGCCACTGTCCTCTAGTGGATGGAATCGGAACTGCTCCTCTCTGTGTTGTCATTTTAATTATCTGTATTATCGGGGCAGCTGGGAGTGCCAGTTACGGACCAGGACCCCGTCTGTCCTAAGGGGAGTTCATTATACCCAGGACTCTTGGCAGTAGGGGTGTGCCTCCTGTACGATTGGGCTGCGGCGCTGAAAGCCCTGGAAAGTTAAGTGGCAAAAGCCGGCCTGAAAGTGAAATGGGGTAAAACCCAAATTCTTCTGGTGGACGACCTGGAACACGCTGCCAGCATCTTAGCGGGCGAAACCGCTAAGTCGAAATTGTCAGTCATGTCCCCGACGTCGGCTCTGTTGTGGAGAAGTTGGGTGGCAGCGAGAAGGAACGCGACGCCGGTGCTGCGAATGGGGAACGTCCTCAAAAACGTCTTTCGCACACCACATGCCCCACTGAGGAGAGAGAGGAAGCGGAGGCTGTGCCAGGCTTTGGCGGTCGGGATCCTGATCTGCGCGACTGAAACACGGTCCCTCGCTGTCAAGATTGGAAAGAAGTTGGAGGTCGTTCAGATGAAGCGTCTCCGAACGATCGGAAACACCAAACAGTTTGAATTCACATTGAATGACGAGATGCGTCTTCTACCAAGACAGGTCCCAGTCTCTCTCTCATCCAGCGCTCTCTATGTTGGTAGGAAGAAAAGGAGGACTTGTGGCACCTTAGAGACTAACAAATTTATTACAGCATAAGCTTTCGTGAGCTACAGCTCACTTCATCGGATGCTGTAGCTCACGAAAGTTTATGCTCAAATAAATTTTTAGTCTCTAAGGTGCCACAAGTCCTCCTTTTCTTTTTGCGGATACAGACTAACACGGCTGCTACTCTGAAACCTGTCATTATGTTGGTAGGATCATCTGCTCCGAAGGCCAACCAGCTGCCCTGGGAGACCCCCTTCCACTTGGATCCAAACAAAGCAGGATGGAAAAGACCCCCCTGAAAGACCTAAAATAGGATGGCTGGACGGCATCTACAGACTCCTGTCCCACACAGGTATTTTACCCTGTAACACGCCAGATTTGGCTGAGGGCAGATTTGGTTCAGCAGCCTCTCTTCGTCCCCGCCACAGCGTAAGGACGAACGATGCTGCACTGCAGACCAAGAACCAGCAGAGGGTAGCAGCCTCCCGCCTCTCCCAGTCCTGCCTGTGCGGCAGACAGCTTGTAAACGGACCGGCAGCGTTTTACACTGTCCCAAGCGAGATGGATCTGTTGACAGTGTGAAAGCCCAGCCCGCGCTTCAGAGCGAATGCAGGGCCCCGGTCCCGGTATTCAGTCTGTTGCCTGGCATGCCCTGTGCTGCCGCAGGAAGCGGTTTCACTACGAACAAGCACTTTTGCTGAATGCATCTGAGCCCGGTGCCGACCCGCTGGGGATGAGAACCAGAAAAATTCCAGTTCCAGGTCATGTCAGGACAGGTCCAAACCCGCCAGCCACGGCACTTCCCGGCCACGGCGGTACAGTGCAAATCATACAACACTACAGTGCATCGACATGGTTCATTGGCACGCTGGCTAGCCCATTAGAGCCCTAAATGGCACCGTGGGCCAGATTCTTACACTGGTGTAGAGCAGGAGTAAGTCCGCGGTGTTACGGAGTGGGACGGGAAGGTCAGGCCCCGCGATAATGAGATTGTACCACGAGTTTCGCAATATGCGGTGCTTTTCCCACAGCCTCCGCGGCTGGAGCCCGGTGACTCGGTGAGAATCTCAGCTTTTCAGAAGTACCTTCCCAGCCTTCGGGGCTGCAGCGGGAAGCGGGAAGCCGTGACCCCTCCAGGCCCTGCAGCGGAAGGCAAATGACATTCATTGTTTTTTAATATCTCATGATTTTTAAGCCAATCTCCCGGAAGGCCCGGCAAGGGCAGGCGTGGGGCTTCTGAGCCAGGAAACTGCCGGCCACGGTTGGTGTGTTCCGAGAAGCAGGACTGGGTTTGTCAATAAACAGGACTGGACCCAGGAAGAGACCTGGCTCCATCTGCAATTTGTCCTCCTAACGGAAACCACCCAGCAAGGCCCCAAATATTGGCTAACCCGGGGAGCCCACAGGGCAACTCCGCACACCCGCTTCTCCTCCCAGGCTGAGCAGCCCGGCTCTGACCTCCCCTGTCTGATCCTTCCACTTTCTCCTCCCCAGATAAAGAGCCGAGAGCAACCTCTGTTAACGTGACCTTCCCAGCCAGCCCCCCCATCACCCCTTGAGCAGCCTCCATTAACACGGCTTTCCCAGCCCCCCATCACCCCTCAGAGTAGTTCACAACAAGCTGCCTGAGTTCCAGTATCCGTCCCTTTGACCCAGGAATGTTTTCGTCCACGTGCTTCTCTCCTCGTTGGCTTTCCCCCTCCGTTGGCTTGCTTGGGCCATGTCCCAGTCCCTGCTGTGCTCGGCTCAGACCTGCCACAAACACTGCACATCCTCCTGCTGCCGGATTTTGGCTATAAGGGGCTGTGGAGTGTGATTAGGATCACCTTGGCCTCCCTCGCCCCATACTTACCCTGCCTGCCCCTCACCCTCTTGGCCTGCTCCAGGTGCTTCCTTTGACCCCAGTCATGGCTGATAAGAGCAGCAGGACAATTGCATCATAGCCTTGAGGAGCCTTGTATGGCACTTAGCTCAAGGCTGATAGAGGGGAGCTGGAGACTCCGGTCCCAGCAAAGCCTGTGGATGATCTAAAGCATCTAGACTACAGCAAAGGGATCAGTGCTAAAGCCAGGGTTTTAAGCTCCAGTGCTGGGCGCCCTAAGCTAGAACAAGGGACCTTTGTGGCCTCTAGGTGAAGGTTGAGCCCAAAAGAAGCCTTCTAGCTAAGCTGCCAGGAGATTCCCAACCCCGGAGAGTGAAGGCACACGCAGGCAATGCAAGCTTCCTCCCCACCCCTCTAGCCTTGCCAATGCCGCCCCCCCCCCGCCCCCGCAACCTGCCCTGCGATTCCAGCCCTGGGTTGATGCCGGGGGTGACACGGGCAGCAGCCAGACGAGGAAACATAGAAGAGTGGGCATGACTCAGCTCAGGGGTGGGACTTAGAAAAGCCCGCGTTCAGCCCCTGATTTTCTCTGAAGCTTTGGGCAAGTCGCTCGGTGCCTCAGTTTCCCCATCTGCAAAATGGGGATTGTAACCCTGCCCTAATCCTCAGGGCATCTGGTGACCAGGCTCTGAGCTCCTCAGGCAGCAGGAGCCAGGGAAATGCACAGTCTGATTCTCTTGGGCCCAGAGGGCAGGGGCTGGAGCATACAGGGTATTTACCTTTCACCCTAACTCAGCATTCTTCAGCGTCACATCCTCTGTCCCAGAAGATGCCATCATCGTCTGGCCCAATGCCTTGCTGATCTCCCTCGCTTCCCTTTATCCTGGCCCCGAGTGAATTTTCCCACTGTTTGCAGGAAGTGCTTCCTGGGATGGTGCCAGACAAGGAGAAAACAAGAGGTAAATATTGTGTCCTTCCTCCCTGAGAGACTGCCAGCAAGGCTGAGTGTCTCTCCAGCCAGCAGCACCCCAGCAACCCCCTTCTCCCCCAGATTCCATGCACCCACTCAGGGGGTCTCAGCCGATCCCCTGCAGCTTGCCCAGGCTTCAGCTCGGGGCCCAGTTCCGTACACATCCTGTGCAGGAGGGCAGGGCATAGGGAGCATTTCCCAAGACTCTGAGGTTGCTCCTGCTGCCCCCTTCTGGGTTCACTGGGCATGAATTTTTCTGCTTGGCAAATACAGTTACCCTCATGCCCTCATCCAATCAGGGAACAGAAAAAAGTACCATGTGGTTTGTCTAGCCAATCACAAGCAAGCCAAGAGAGATCAAATGACAAACAGTCACAGCTGCTTCCCAAGGTAAAAAATCCAAATAGAAATTGACTAAATGGGAGGAAACTGCCATCTGCCCTGCCCCATCCACCAGCAGAAAAAAGAAGAAAAACTCAGAGAATAAATGACCGGCTGTGAGTGACTCAGTCCTTTCTCACAGCAAGGCAGCTATATTGGATTTGCAGTCCTCTTAATATTGGGGCTCATTTCCAATATCCTCTGAGGTCTGTCACCCCCTGGCACGCTGATCCCATCAAATTTTCCCACCCTTTGTTTCGACTGTATAGGTTGTAAATTCTTTTGGGCAGAGACTGTCTCACAATGGGCCTGATCCTGCCACATTGACGTCAGTGAGAGTTCTGCCACTGACTTCAGTGGAAGCAGGCTCCGCCAGATTATGTGAGTGTGTGTATACAGCACCTAACACATGACTAGGGCTGCCATGCCACCTCTGAGATCCAAAACTCTGGGACATCCAGACTGATCCTGAGCCCCAAAACTGGGCAGTTGGCAGTGTGTATTGAGCACCATTACAGACTCTCCGTCACAGCTGCCTCGAAAAAGGGACGATCCTGGGAAAACCTTGATAGCTGATGCCCCTAATCCTGATCTCATAGAACCACAGAATCACAGAACTGGAAGGGACCTCGAGAGGTCATCCAATCCGGTTCCCTGCACTCAAGGCAGGACTAAGTATTATCTAGACCATCCCTGACAGGTGTATGTCCAGCCTGTTCTTAAAAATCCCCAATGATGGAGATTCCACAACCTCCCCAGGCAGTTTATTTCAGTGCTTAACCACTCTGACAGTTAGGAAGGAAAGCTGTCAAAGAAAGCTATCAGGTTGGTTTGATATGATTTGTTCTTGACAAATCCATGCTGACTGTAATTTATCATCTTATTATCTTCTAGGTGTTTGCAAATTGATTGCTTAATTATTTGCTTCATTATCTTTCCGGGTACAGAAGTTTGAGTCCTCCAGATGCTGCCGTAACTTACTATTGTTATAAGTAATAACAAACTTTTATTGTTTCCTATGTCACCTCATGGCCTTTTTTCACACAGGCAACAGAAGTTACATAAACTAAGGAAACAGAATGTAAAAAACTTTGTGACTGCAAACTTAGGGCTACACATTGAAATGAAAAAAAAATCTGGAAACTAATGTCTGTGCATTTCTAACATGCTCCACATCGCAGTATGTGAGACATTGATGTTTTGCTCTGCCTCCAACACGTTCTCTTCTAGAAGGCGCTGGCTGCTTCTGTCCTCAGAACATTAAGTCTTTCCCTGGTTTTGAATGTGCTTTGCATCGGAGCTGTAAAACGGGTCACTGCTTCCAACAGCGTCCCCTCATGGCCAGGGGTGGCTCTGCAGCAGCCCGCTGTAGGGTTCCTAAATCAACTTCAAACCCAGGTTTCGCTCTGTTCCCAACACCCATCCTTAGGGTCTGGGCTGATTCCCATCAAAGGTCAAAAGAAAAGTCAAAATCCCCCAAATAAAGTGTACAAGGTTTAAATCAATTCCTTGCTTTAGCAGGCCTCTCCCAGCCCTGCCTAGCTGGAACAGCTCCCCCAGTGTCTCAGGATCTTTCCTGCAGGAGCCTTGCACTCACTCTGCAATTCCTCTACCCAGGCCGCCTCCCTGATTGAGTCACTGACCTGATTTCCCCACCGGGGGAGCCGAGTGGGGGCCATCTCCCCTTAAAGGCACAGCCACCCTGTTACAGGGCCCATTGTTGGTAACACCCGGCCCAACTCTAAAAGCTTTCGTCTGAGGATCTCAAAGCACTTTACAAACTTGCAGCCACCGTCCCGCGAGGGACTGTAGCTCATTGCTATCACCCGACTTTACAGAACAGTAAACTGAGGCACAGATCAGCCAAATGGCTGGCCCGTAGGTAGCTGCATACTGAGCTGTTTCAGTGCCCAATCACATTAATCTGCATCTTTCCCTTGAATTCAATGGGCTTTATCTCAGGCTCTGAGGCAGCAGGAGAATTAGGAAAGGGATCCAGGAGTCCTGACTCCCAGCCCCATTCTCTGCCCACACTCTCCTCCCCAGAACATGTTCCCCATCTCCCTGTCTCCAGGGGCATCAGTTTCCATGTAACCTCTCCCTTTCCCGCCAGAGACCGGGATCCCTCCCCGGCCCGCCCAACGACAGCCAAGTGGCTTCCTGCCTGATTTCTCAGCAGGAAGAATCTCTCACTCAACTAACAAACAAAAGAAAACAAAAAAATCAAAGCAGCAATGCCTGCCTGCAAGCCCAAGCCGAGAAACAGGAAGCCAAGGGCTTCATCGCCTCTTCCTGAGCATCGCTCGGAACAGCCCCCAGGTCTTTCTGGGCCAGTCTGGCCCCTCCCTTCCGCAGCTGCATCCTCGCACCCCAGCTTCACACCGGTGGCGAGGGCAGGTGCAGCGGGCGAGAGACAGGGGCTGGCTGCCGGGAGCCCTGCCGAGCTGGGGAGCCAAGGGGGACCGGCTGCTCTGGCGCAGGATGGAGTCTGTGGCTTTGTACAGCTTCCAGGCGACGGAGAAGGACGAGCTGCCCTTTCGCAAGGGGGACACGCTGAAGGTACCTCTGCCCCGTGAGGGATTGAAGGTTTCCTTATCGAGGGAGCGCCAGCCAGGGAGAAGGGCTTCCCCAGACACAGGGGCACAGCCAGCTGCCTCCAGGGATCAGACAGATGTCCTAAGCACAGCATGGCCATTCCGAGCACTTGCAGGATCCCAGTCGGGGGGAGGGCTAGGGAGTGGGGAGATCTGGGGACAGCTGAGGCTCTAGGATGCCTCTGAAATGTACTGGCCCAGAAGCTGGGATTGAGAGAGCTAGAAAGCACCTGAGACCTGCTGCAGCAGCAGGGGGAGATTGTGCTGGGTGCGGGGTTAGACAGCGCCTGTGATGTGGCGGCCCAGAGAGACGGGTAAGCCCTGAGGACCGAGCAGGGCACACAAGGGGTGTCCAGCCCAAGCTACTAGCATCCGTGGTGTGGACGGGCTTGTTTCTTTCATGGCCTGGCACCCAACCACCCCAAAGGGCTGGGAGGACTAGGAGGCATTGCTTGCCACTACTGATCCTAGCTGCACTGACGTCCACGGCCCAGCTGCCCGGGGACTTTACTGGGGAGAGGATCTGGCCCTCAGAGCAGCTCAGTCCTCCACAGATGGGGCCCAATGCTGCTCCAGGGGAGCAGTCCCAGCCCGTAGCCTGCCCGTGCAGCGTTTGGGTGTGTGTCTGTGGGTTGAGGGGGATCCCCGGGACATCTGTAAAGAGACCTTGCCTGGCAGTGGGCCGACTGCAAAGAGCAGATGAGCTTGGAATGAGGCGTCACGTGACACAGCTGAGCTCCTCCGGGTAAAGTGAGACACAGAGAGAGGATGGGCTTGCAGTCTAGGCACAGGAGTAGGACCCTGTAGATGTGGGTTCAGTTGCCAGCTCTGTGGCAGACTCCCCCTGTAACCAGGAGCAAACCACCCCATCGCTCTGGGCCTCAGTTCCCTTCTCCCTCCCTTCATTTTTACTGTAAGCTCTTCTGGGCAGAAACCGTCTCTTATGTGTGGGCCTCCAATCACAAATAGCAAACTAGGGAAATGGGGTCTAGGTGAAATGACTGTAAGGTGGGTGTGCAGCTGCTGAGAAACCAGGGAGTAGTTCACTGTCAGACTGGGAGGATGTGCCAAGTGGGGTCCCACAGGGGTCAGTCTTTTCATTAATGACTTGGGGGATGGACTAGAATGTACACTTCTGAAATTGGTGGATGACACCAAGCTGGGAGGAGTTGCAAGCCCTTTGGAGGACAGGATTCGAATTCAAAACGCTCTTGATACATTGAAGAGCGGGTCTGAATCCAGCAAGATGAAAGTCAATAAAGACAAGTGCAAAGAATGACACTTAGGCAGGCCACATCAAATGCGCAGCTACAAAATGGGGGCTCACTGGTTAGGTCGTAGGACTGCTGAAAAGAACCTGCGGTTACAGTGGATCCCAACTTGAACATGAGGCAACACTGTGATGCTGTTGCAAAAAAGGCAAATGTCGTTTTGGGGTGTATTGACAGGAGCGTCATATGTAAAACGGAGGCTGCCATTGTCCGGCTCTGCTTGGCACTAGTGAGACTGCAGCTGGACTACGGTGTCCAATTTTAGGTGCCACACGTTAGGAAAGATGTGGACAAATTGGAAAGGAAAGAGTGAATGAACTGGGCATTAGTCTAGAGAAGAGAAGGGGGGACTGATAGTCTTCAAATATGTACAAGGTTGTCATAAAGGGGATGGTGATCAAGGGTTCTCCGTGTGTGCTGAGGATAGGACAAGAAGGAATCCGCTCAGTTCACCACAAAGGAGATCTAGGGTGGATATCAGCAGAAACGTTCTAAGGAGAGTTGAGCTCTGGAACTGGTCAAGTAGGGAGGTTGTGGACTCCCCATCACTGGAGGTTTTTAAGCACAGGTTGGACAAACACCGGTCAGGGATGGTCTGGGTTTACTTGGTCCTGACTCAGTGCAGGGGGCTGGACTGGATAAGCTCTTAAGGTCCCTTACAGCTGATGTCTCTATGATTTCTGTGATCTCAGTTGGGGCAGCTCGACACACCTGGAATACAAACAGGAGCAGTAAATCTCTGAAGAGATGGTTGATTCACCTGGACACTTATTTACTCCTGTGCTTTAGATCTGAATTAATACACGGCCCCAGCGTTCTGATTTCAGTAGAGCTCTGACGTACTGGTTAAGAAAAAAATTTGTAGAAGCAGCGAAAAGTCTTTTTTCCCCAGGCTTGTGCTTGCGAAATTCTCCATATACGGTGGTGATA